TGATGCTATCCTTCTGAGATCTTCTTGCAATATTTGTAGATTATTGCGGTATTTTTCAAGGTTATGTCTGTTCTTTCGCAAAATATCTGAGCCGTGATCGAGCCACGTCAGCTCAATGTTATTCATGATATTCTTTAGCTCCTTGAGAGCTTTGTCTAAGTTTGTTTCCTTTAATAATGTTTCATATTGTTGACCTTTCGCGGTCAACGTTCGTGTACGCTTGAAATTTACGACTGCAGTCGTTTCTCTTTCACTCAGAAAGTCGGGTACAAGTTCGCTTTCAGCTCCGTCGAGCCTTGCATCGCTTAAACTTCGTCTCATCGGGCTTATAGGATCCGACGATTCCATACTAGCCTCGTTTACTTAGCTTAGCATGCGAAATCTAGTTCACAGTCTTTTAAACCACAAGTTTTAAGACAAGTTTTACTGTAGCTACCGGCGTAACCATGGCTAGGGTTTTATACGGATCTCTGACAATCTTTAATAGTTCTTAATTTGATCGTAAAACTTGTCTARCCATATRCTTGCTCTTACAAATCGCTCCTCGTGGTCCGTTGACCGACAATTGAAATTTGAGATCAAAATAATGATGTACTTATTATATACTTAATAATTATTTAAACATTCCACGACTGTTTATGGCAACAGTCACACTCAGGCTGATCTAAGTCAGTGAATGTCTAACTCAAAGATTGAATTGGAATTTAGGGTGTTTTGTGGAGGGAAGGAAACTGAAGAACCTGAAGAAAAACCTTTGAGTCAAGGGAGAAACCTAAAAAATTCAACTCTACTTGGGAATAATGGGCCAAGCTCAAAAACAGAACCCATGACCCAGAAGTTACATTAACATGCATTTAATAAAATGCAGAAGAGTCAACTTCCAGCACAGAGCTTCCATCGGAAAAGCATCAACATCGGAATGAARCAATGACATTAAGAACAAGAGCCTGTAACTAACAACTTGTTGAGTACAAATTAAAATACCTCATCAGGGTTTTCTGCAGTAATCCTGGCAGCAATCACATGACCCTTTGGTTTCTTGCAATCTGAAGTACTGGAATAATACATGAAAATATACATTAAAGATGCATTTTAATTAAATAATAATAATAAAGATTGTAATGAGAAAACATTAATCTGTTTTGCTATTCATTTGGGTGTACAGCTAATCATTAGGATTTCTTGATCATGCAATAAGGACTGCAGAGTATCCTCAAATGTAGCGGGCGTTTGATTTGAAAATATAGTTAGTGGCTATCAGCAATCAAACTACTCTTTGGCGAACTCATGGATACTTGTTTCACTTTTCGGAAATTGGGCTCCCTGTGCCCTTCTTATGCTTGTTGATATTCAAAGGATTCAAAGTATTTCGCTGGATTTCATATATTTTTTAAATACTCAATTTAGCAGGCAAAATGAGTAATAGTTCTTTTATTTTCCTTTTAACACTTTTGTTATTTTGTTGAGTTTGGAAGCAAATTCTGTGATGAATTAATTGTCTGAACTTCAATCACGAAAGACGACTTCAATGGAGTCAATGGAGTCAACTGAGTCAAGTATAGAGTATAATTGGAAGAAGATCTATTTGCAAACGCTTTCTCTGTTTTCAATTCAAAAGGCGGGCTGCGTGATTGACATGCAATAATAAACAGAAAAAAATCTAGGGGAATGACTTACTGGTCAAAATCAATGTTTTCACTGCCAAATGCTGACTTTCCATAAAGAACTCGAATTTCCTTAATTCGATGAAGTGGCAACCCCATGGCAACCTAAAAATAAATTAGACACATGCATTAATATTCACCTGCTATCCCATTCCATCTATCATTCCACGCATCCCTCTATCCATCCATTATCCATCCCCATCCATTCATCTATCTATTCATCCACTCATCCATCC